GAAAAAAATATTTTAAACGCGGCCATTGCGCCGCCGTTTCTGGGGGTCCCTCGGAAGAAAGGTCATCTAAAGTAAAAAAAATGCGTGTTTTAGTTAAAACATTACCTTAAACTTGGACAAACGAAGAACGGAAAATTGAGAATTGCATTTTTGGGAGAGAAATCTTTACAAAAAAGTTAAAATTTCAGTGAAACTTTGTCGAGTTCTTTTTCGAATGGTTGTAATCGACAAAAATAATATTTATTACTAGTCTTTATGAAATATATAACCGCACACCCATGTAACCACTTAAAGAAACACATAATTTATTCTTTAAAACATTTGAATTCATTTTAATTTTAGTCGAAAATCTCTTTAAGATAAATACTATTAATGATTATTATTTTTCACAGAATATAGCATATTAAAAATAAAATGAAAAATTAACCCACAACTGCCATTTAGTAACCATAACATAAAATTTACAGCATTTCGCTGAAATGCAACATCACTACCCAAGCGCTTGAAGCTACAAATCACCCATATATTAGTAGCATTAGTAGTATGTTCGGCTATGAAGGGCAGCTTCTCATGTGTGTACATAGACACATAGTAGTGTATGTATGCTTGTATGCATTTGTTGGGTGCTAAATAGATAAACACTTAATATAAAATGCCATTAAGAATGTATACAATCAAACGCACATTTTCATATATATATAGCTCTACTCGTGTGAAAGCCACTTTGCCAAGACGCCAAAGCCCATTGGCATGCACGCACTCGCCCAGCAGCTAAACAGCAATTTATGAACTTGCTTTTTGTTTGGACTAACATAATTGTATTTTCTCGGCTTAAATATTTTATCAGTAGTGCCTACAATTATGAAGATTAATTGAAAAGCTCGGGTGGGCGCACAAAGTTCGCACATATATCAAGGCGAAGTGTTGCAGGAGCCGGAGTGGCCAAGGGAAACTAATTGCATATAAGCAAATAGAAGATAGAAGAAGCTTGAGTTTGGCACAGAAATATACATATTTACTTGCGAGTGCACTTGATTGTGTAGAGATATGTGTGTATGGTTGCGCAATTTTCGTTGCTAAAGAAACCATTCACTTATTTAGCCAAGTAAGACATGGCGTATACGTAACTTTTTTCTACCGCTCTTGGTCCGTCACTAACGATATCTTTAAACGTGGTAAGGCATTAAAATGCAACAACAAATAACACTGTATACAGTTGTTGTTTTTATTGTTGCACGTTGGTTTAATAAAACAATGGCTGGCCGCAGCCTGAGCCCAACATGAGCCCAGCAACATCATTTCAGGTAAGCTCACAAATTGTTATCGGTAAGCTGCCAGTAGAGGTTTTTGTTTTACAACCACATGTGTACACGTGCGTATGTTTATGTATGTATTATATGGGCATAGGCGCAACCCAATATTGTTGCTATTTCTTTTTCATTTAAGGAGCAACTAAGCCAAGCAGTACTCACTCATCTCTCAACCATACATTATTCATACCTGCAGCTATGTATGTACATATGTAACTGTATGAGTCTTTCTTACTACACATTTTATTTATGCATCATTTACCTAGGATAGGTGGGCCTAGCAATTTTACTTTATCGCTCCCTTGAGTTATCTGCATTTTGCCTTTATCCGCATGCGCTGCGTACTTGCCGTAAATCCATTTTATTTATTGCCCAAGTCACTGTCGGTATTCATTAGGTCATTAGTTAAGCATCGTCAATGGTGACTAAGGTTAGCTGAATGCTTGTCAACGTCTTTGTTGTGCGCACTGTCGAAGCCAAGTGACCGAGTGCAAGTCATTCCGCTGATGATGAACTCCATTTTTCTATTGTCTCATGGTTTCTGCTTGTTTCTGTTGGTAATATCTGTGGATGGGTGTGTGTAAGTGGTTTCCTCTATATTTATGCGTACAGTTTTGTTTTTGTGGGCTTTTAAGGGGTATATGCCTAACAGTAATTTACCTAAGCCTTTATTCCAGAAATTTGCAGCCACATTTACATATGAGCAAAAAATAAATTCTTTAAAAAGGTTAAATTATACTTTATAATTTTTATTTATTTTTCTTTATCTAAACCTATTTTAAATATCAATTTGTCAACATGTTTGTGCTATTTTAGCTACGTGGATAATTCCTCATAATTCTAGAGTAGTTATTTGGAAAGAAAGATAGTTTTCAAAGCTTCGGCATATTTTCCTCCTATTAATATCCTTGAGATATAAGAACAAAAATAAAGGCGAATATGGGTCCGACAACGACTTCTCGAAATCTCGATATCGTTTCGATTGATTTGTGAGACGGTGCATGGTCTTGATTTGGGATCTTATGTGGCAAGCAATTTGAGCGATGCTTTCGCATAATAAAATATTCATGAACGAGTTGTTCAACGTGTAGCTTTGAAATCTGCAGAGTGCTAGCTATCTCGATCAAACTAATTTTACCAACATCCAAATTTCCCCCCCCAACCCCCCCTACTTTTTATCCCTTCTACATTAATAGCTTTTTTAGACAGTTTAATCACAGTCAGTAAGGAAGCTATAATGTTTTAGAAAGTTTGGTCACCTACTTTGATGTATATAGAGTCTGTCCAATTACGAATGACAGTGAGCAGATAAGCGGCCATCAAGCCAATATTTTATATAAGCAGCATTTTTTTTTATGAAAAAATAGATAGTCATTAAGACGTGAAATAGTTTTTTGTCTTTTACTTTTGCTTCCGTTCCAAAGTCCAAATTTATGGAAATCAATTATTATACTTTAATCACAATAGTCAGTATAAGTTCTACAATTGCTCCATTCTCGGGGGCAAGAAGAGATTTCATACTTGTCCAAATTTAAATTTTTCAAAAATTTAAAATATTTTTTTATATACGATTGATAGAATGTAAAAAAAAAATTCCGCTGTTTTAAATTTTTTGCCTGCTTTCAAATTTCTTTCTTGCAAATCACAGAATGTCTCATTGAAATAGATATTTTCTTTGAAGTTGTTTTATTTATTTCGGAAGCTTCTTTGGCTACTGGGTCACTGATTTAAAGGAGTTTCACAAAATATATATATATTTTTTTTGCTTAAAAAACTGTGTTCACATCATTTCTTATATCTCCCAGTAGAGCATAGAGCTTCACTAATTAGTATCTTAAAAATCTTATGCAATCGGAGAAAACTTCCATGCTCATTGCTTCAGTGCCGAAGCCTTTGGAGCAATCAACTTCGGCACGAGAAGCTTTAAACAATCACATGCACTTGATTGTGTGTATGAAGTGAGGTCTTTTTGAAAAAAATTGTGTGTCTAGCTGTGAGCAAGATTTTTCAGTTTAAAGTCAACTCAAATTCAAAATCCAAAAGAATTTATTTTACAGCTAAAGGTCGAAGGACTGATCAAAATTTTGACTTTTGAGATACTGGCAGCATTTAAAAAATGACATTTTTTGTAAACACACCTTAGAATCCTCGGCTGATAACTACATCTAAGAAGGTCATGTGCAAATTTCAAATGGATCAGTCTAGCTATTTTGAAGACGGCTCTATAAAAACGTTTCGAAACATTTAAAGATATATGTTCAAATAAAATGAGCAACCTCCCCCGAAACAAACTCCGCCCCTTCGTCACGCCCTATAGAGGTACTGGAGGCTCAGGAAGCAGTTGACCAACTTGGGCATAGTCTCTTGAGCAAACTGACGATTCTGTGACATGGAACATTAAACTCCAGAGCACCTGATTCTGGATTGCAGAGCAATTTGCTGAAACATTCTCAAGGCACTAGATTCAATCTAAGTGGTTGAGGATCACATCACCTAGAATTGTTCAGAATACTGGACGATTGTGATCATAACTGATATAAGAGAGGATACAATTTACCATAGGTCGCAGTGCAAAGACAATTTATATATTCAAATACTGCTTTATCTCCGAAACTGTTTGCCGAATCCGCTTCAAATTTTCCAAGAATATTTTGAAATACATGTACCTTAGATAGGCAAGAAAACAAGCGGCTTCATGAAACTCATAACTGGATACAAAATCTTAAGTGGAAATCAGGAATTTTGGTTTATTATTTTTCTTACTTTGAACTGTTTGTTTAAGTTTGATCATTATTTTTCCATCCTAGGGTTTTATTATTCTCTATCATGAGATTATTTTGTCGGCTAGACAAAGTAATTTTACTCTGTGCTTCGGTTGTTTGTGAGCAATTCTCGCTTCAAGCGCTTGGAGTCAATATAAATGGCTTTAATGTTCTCAAACGAAGGTTATAATAGGTTTCGTCAATATTAAGGGGATCCACACTTCACTCGATTAACTCGCTGTAAAATTTCTATTTTCGGTTACGATCTTGAGCAGCAGGAATCAGAATTTTGGTACAAAACTAATATAAAACTATAAACATAAAACATATATATAGAATTGCCTAGAACTTTACAAATTAATCCAATTTTGTTTTCTTTACAGTACTTTCGCACTCTAAACACTCGCGTCTCCGTGGTGTACATTGAAACGTGGGGCAAAAATCAGGCACCCATCGATGGCAGCAAGGACATCAGTAAAGCCATATCGAATTTCAACGATTACACATCGCGAAATCTTTTCCAAATCGAACGCGACACCACACAGTTACTAACGTAAGTAAAACCAATCAATATATACAAACTTTTTACTATCTAGAACTTGAACTATCTATATAATCAGATATTAAGTTCTTTAAAAGAGCAAATAAAAGTGATTTAAAAAACAAACGGTTATAAGAGTAATTGAAAGAATATTAGCAGCGCTGCACTAAATTGCATGTAGTGTGTGTGGATGTGTGGCCAGACAATAAGATTACACTAACGCATTGGCTAATAGAATTGGTCATATAGAGTAGAGCTGAGTTACAAATTGCATATATATTTACATATATGCGGTGGCTATGGCTGGTGTGGCAACTGTTGCCGCAAATATACACAGAAATGACAATTAAATTTACAAATGCATAATTAATGTACAGCCAGTCCAGCCAGGGCAGCCAGGGTGGCCAATAGAGCCACAGAGCCCCGACAACCGCAGAGGGTGAGCGCTCAAAATCAGAAATATTTTATAGATATTGCGGCGTAGGGTGGGATATTAGCCTCCTAACGCCATGCAGGCTTAAACTCATAAGCTTTATTTGAGTAAGTGTGCGTGTGGGCACCACGTTGAGTGTTTGGCCTAGCGATACGTGACAGTCATATTTATTATGACCACTATAGCAGCGTCTGATTATGCCAACTTAACAATTACCGACTCGTGCGGCCACCACCCACTGGCACTGGACGGATGAGGCCTGCCGGCGCTAAGCCCACAAATAGATTGTCTTCCAAAACGTTGCGCTCACAACTGCGGATTATAATGAGCAAAGCGCGACCGAATGCCTCGTCACATGAATGACAGCATAAACTTAGGCAAACTAGACACCGACTGGGTGGGAGAGGGTGAGTCGTATGGTGGGTGGAAGTGGGTGGAGCGGTGCTTGTGTTTGTTTAGCTGCAAACTGTTGGTGGCCATTCGCTCGCTGTTGGACTGGCTGGCAGGCTGACTATAAAGTTTTAATGCGCATTTCTGATTTTATTTACGCAGCATATTTGAAAGGATTATAAATTTTCATATTTAAATACCGCTACCCGCAACTGTGCAACAAGCACACCGCCGAAGTAAAGCTGTGCCACACAATACAATTGCCAGCATAAGCAATGAGTTGGTCATTATGCTCATTTTATTATGCTAAATTCGCGCTCACACACACACAAACACATACATGCACAAAATGTATACCCTGCATAGCAGGAGTTGAACACTTTTGAACTCTTCATTTTGTGATCTTTCTTTGAGCGGAGCGGTGGGTCTTTAATAAATGACTGTTGTTTTTCTGCTGATTCGATTAAATTAACATTTAATTATGTCATTGCTGCGCTGAGGAATGAAAATGAATTGGTAGTTGAGTCGATCGCTGAACCCGAGTGAGTCGTAAAAGAACTCAGCGCTAAATTTGAAGATAATTTACTACGCTCGTGTGACACTTCTGCGACGAACTTCATCCTTGCACGTTCCTCAGAATTCAGGTAAATTGTGCAACTCATCAAGTGATTGATGATGAGTGAGATCAAGTAGTTGAGTGACACAGTTTCGAACAAAATTGACTGGTGAGTAGGGTGGAAAATAAAATAAAAACACAAAAATGTCAAATATTTGTTTTTCTTTATCGCAAAATGTCGTAAACAAGTAGCAAAGAAACTGAAATTTTAAAGGTTTTCAATAACTGAATTCAGAACTAATAGTTGCAGGCATGTATCAAGTTTTGCGGATGCGCAGCATATTTTAAATATAACATTTATATATATATTATTGACAAAAATCATTATTAAGGAGGAAAAATTCGTACGCTTGTGCCAATAACAATATATTCAAAGCACAAGGGATCGACCGATAACCATCCTTTTCATATCCATAGGTCACAATAAACCTAATTTATTGAATTATCACAAAAATTTAGATTTGACCACTAGCGAAGTTAATTAATGTCTCCTTTGACACAAACGTTTGTAATGAACTGGTTAATTTCTAAGCATTCACAAGAGGCACGTCCAGAGGGACAACCCAGAGAGACGATTTTGAGAATTTCAAAAGAAACTACTGTATCAACAGTTCTGTGCAGTCTGTTATGGGCAAAAAATAGTAAGACTTTTTCATTTTTTACAAGATTAGTATGACTGCCAGTGAGATTTCAGAGAATGTCACATCAAAATAATCATTAGAGTTTAGTATACTCTTGTCTTTATGAAGTACACAAAGTGCAATCGGCGATTTTTACGATGAGTAAAATTATTCAACAAAGAAGTTCCATTAAAGTTTTAGAAACGTTCAGAATGTTGGAAAAGGCCTCCGGTGATAAGTGTTTGTCGTGAAGAGAGTCGAGAACGCATAATTGATGAACCACGTGAGAACACCCATCACAATCAACTGATGATCAATCCGTCAATAAAGTAAAGGAATTGATGTTTGAGAATCACTGTAATTAAAAAGAAAACTGGGTCGCATTAAGGTCTGTGAAGCAATGTTTTCCGACTACCATGATATTATGAAACATATTGGTTATGATTCTTGGATCTGTCCTTACGATCCGGAAAGATACGATCAATTGGCCGAATATCGTGGAAAATATGAGCCAACGCCAAAAAAACACACATCAAATCAGTCAAAAATGAAATTTATGTTGACAGTTGTCTTCGATTACCGCGGTGTGGTGAACTCCGAATATTTCTGCCGCCTAAACTGTCAGCAAGGAATACTATTTGAGTACTATGGGTCGTTTGCGCGAATCTGTTTGTAACAAAAGGACGGAATTATGGGCTGACAACTATTGGTTTCAATTAGTTAATCCTTCATGAGCTTTTAGCCAAATTTCAACCGATATCTTGCCGTTACCACCATATTCGGGTGACTTAGCTCTATGCAACTTCGGGCAATTCAGCAAACCCAAACGACCACTCCGAGGAAACCATTTTAAGTCAATTGAAGACATTAAGCGTAAATCGATACGCGCATTGAAAGAAATTAACTTTAACAACTTTTTCGAGTATTGGATGGCACAAGCGTGGCTAAGCAGAATTACATTGAGGGAGGTGACACAGAGTTTGAAAAATAAATTAAGAATTTCAAAATTAAGTACAAACTCTTGCTATTTTTTTAAGTTTTGAAAGAAGAAAAAATTAGTTTTTGGGTTACACGGGAGCACCGACGGCGCTAAGAAAGAGGTATGCAACTACTGCAGTGATTCCGGCCTTCTACGCAGGTGAAACCTCAAAAATTAAATTACTCATCGAAGATAAAACAGTGGCTTAAGGTGTTTTTTAAAATAGTTAAATTTTGTATAAAATTGTTGATAATTTCGGCCTAATTAAATTGGGTTTTTCATCAGAATCAAAAAACATATGAAGAACCACATACAAATTGATATTAAGGGAAATCCGAAATCTTGTGATACTATTTTTAAAGATATAATAACAAACGCGTGGCACAATTTTAAGGAAATTTGAATCTCTTCTAAGATGGTATGCCATTATTTGTCTGACCTGCGAGTTAGTCCCTACATAGCTTTTAATGATAAAATGCATGCTGCTAAGTGCGTAAATTTGTGCTTGTCATTCTTGTCATTTTAGTGTAAAATATAACAAATAAAACAGGCAGCTTCTCAAACAATGACTTTCTCACAGACTGCAGACTCACACTTTACTTGTACTTCACTTGCACGTTTTCTCGGCGTTTTCTGACGTTTTTATATGATATAAAAAAAATCGATATTTTTGAATTGGATTCTGTAGCACCTCTGTCAAACGTTCGAAAGACAACTTACAAGTTGTAAAACACAAAATTCTAGACCAAATACCAGAAACCCCCGAAAGTGTCAAGTCTTTGGTAACCCCAATAACAATCATGTCCGCTCCAAGCCCAACCAGTGTTTTCACACCTGTGTACACAATATAAATACTCGAACACACATATTGATTTTGTTTATCCACCTAAATACGATTCATTTCATCTTCGTGTTGTCTATTTATCACTCCTACGTTCTTGTCCTCACTCACTCACTCACTCGAAGGCATTTACAGCAAATGGTCACACGTAATGCCAATGAAATTGATGTTTCGCGGTTGACAAACAACAACACGCGCCAACGTGTACTATGTGAGCTAACATTTTTTACATTCTACTCTCTTATCCACCTTCGTTTCCAAATTTGTGGTTGCGCTTAGCTGAAGTAGCATTGCTCGCGGCGGTGAGTGGGCATTGACATCTGCAATGATCTATTACCTACGTGTCTTTGGCAGATGAAATCTGTCAGACAAGCCAATTTTCGTTTTGGTTTTTCCTTGTCAACCCCCACAGCAGAGGTGATTAGTGGGAGAGATTGTAGAGTGATGGCGCAAAGTTACTTGTGTTTAGAAATCATTTATTTATGGTGAGTTCAAGAGGAAATGAGAGCTGTGAAAAGCGAGAGAAAGAGAGAGAGAGAAGAGACTAGTGATGGGACTAAACGTCAATGCTCAAATGTTGCACTTTTCTAAATGCCTTTAATTATTGAGACACAGTGCATAATCATTATAAAACAGCAGTCTCAAATTCTTCAAATGGGTCCATTTTTATGCGATGTAGCATCTCGATTCGACAATAGTAAGCCATCGAGGCAAAAATCCGGTAGTTTCGCAATTAGGCAGCTCCAAACGTAGACTCGTTACAACTTTTCAGTACACCTTATGTATATAATCGTAACTAAGAATAAGTCTCCTCAATATCACATATAAATTGCTATTGAGCGTACTATGTGAAAGATTAAAGCCAATCGTCAACAAACTGACGAGATATACACCAAGCGCCGAAACTTAAAACTCTCCAGCTCTGAGAGCATTTGACGTAGTACCCGCCGGAAGAAGCAGAGGAACAGAACGATCTGCACTCTGTTCGGAGGACCAAGTGGAGAAGGACCTTGCACACATATCCTATTAGACGCACAATTATTCACCAGTTACCTTAGAGAATACGGAATAGGTTAAGATACCACATTTTATGGACATATAGCGTGTTATTCCTTGGTTTTAATGATATTCAC